AGACGGGAAGTCCCTGTGTCCAGGCAACTGTCCTGCTGTCAGCCAGTTTTGGTTGGGCACGTGCTGCCCAAAGATTCCCTCCCCACACGTCCCAGGCTGGCTGGCAGTGCCAGCCATGAGGTCCAGACCTGGGCTCAGCAGCGTGGGTGGAAGACACAGACAGCAACCCCGTGGAAGCCTGCTGTGAGCCTCACGGCGAGGACAGTCCCAGCAGTTGGGAACAAGCTGTTGTGCTAGAGCAGGACACAGACAAGCTGTTCACTCACCTCCACCTTGGTGATCTCGTTTGTTTCAAAGTCTGGCTGGGGCAGCTCTGCTGGCTGAGTTGGGGTTGGGTCAGGATCTAGTTTGGGTTTCCCATAGAGGTACTGGATACCTTGCTTGTCATCCTCACTCAGACTCAGTGGGTAGCGGAAGATATAGAAAGGAGACATCAGTGACTTGGAGACAGCCGTGTGCTGCAGGCCCAGGACGTGGCCGAACTCATGAGCAGCCACTTGGAGGAGGTCAGTGCCTACAAAGGGAAAAAATGGGAGAAGCTTTTGCCTGCCTCCGGGGCTCACGTCTACCAGTTAACAGCCACTGACAACGCACTGAGGTACCCTGTAGGAGCCTAACACGAGGAAGGAGAAATCTACCGCAACGACAGCGCTCACGGCTTGTTGTTCCCAGGGTTTTCCTGGAACACTATGAGTGAATTCATACGCTCAGGTACCAGCCTGGGCATGCTGGTAAATTGTAATCCTGTCACCAGGGGCTTCTGTACCCCATCAGCTATCAGGAAGAAAAGGGTTTCCTGTGTGCTTTTGGATAGAAGAAATTTGCAGAGAGAGATGTCTGGCCCACAGAAGCAGGTGTCGGGGTGGTAAGGTCAGGTTTTGTCCACCCAGCCTTGCAGCAGTCGTTGGCTCTAGCTGTAGTGTGTCAGGTTCCGTCTAGATCATGTCCACTGTGGAAGATACCTGCGTCAGTGAGGATTAAACTTGCTAATGACCATTGTCACACAGACAGCAGAGGGAGCTCATTTATTGCTCGTGTGTGGACTGTAGCAAGAAGGTGACATTTAGAAATCCATAGAAAGCTATCCAGTGTCAAGGCCTGGGCCTTTTCACCAGACTGGAGTAGATCTATGGGAGATCATGTTTTAGCAATACATGACCTTGGAGCATCTAGAAAAGGAGAGAGGGAAAAGTGAATTTCAGTATGCGAAAATGTGTCATTTGGCAGGTGTTGTTTAGCTTCCAATGGATCCTTTTTGAAGTCAATAGATTTCAGGGAAAGCTGGAAGAGGCATATTAAGCAGCGAAACTTGTGAGCGGGCCTGTTTGTTGACAAGTCCCAGCGTATTCGTTCACTCGCCTTCAGCCAGAAATCCTCCGAGCTGCAGCCCAAGCGATGAGAAAGGCAGGGATGTGAGTCAGCCAGCCTCGCTGCTCCAAGCAGGATTTCCCTGCTGGCTCCAGGGAAGCTGATCACTTCTCAGCAGCCAGAAGGACAGGACAGGGGCATGCAGCTGGGAGGAATGCCTGGGAAGGGCGGAGGGGAAGGTGAGCCCGTCTTCCTCCGCTGGTCAGCTTTATGTTGAAGCGATGAATTTGCGCAGCACTGGCCCAATTAAATCGACACATCTAGGTCAGCTGAGAAAGTGGGATTTCTGTGTCAGTGATTTATCACAAACTTTCAGACACTCGTGTTTGGTTTGGCAGGCTCCTCGCTCGATGCTTTCCAGTGTTGGCAGGTCGGCTGTGCTGTTGTCAGATTCTCTGGGGGAGGCGAACAACAGCACGCCTGAAGGAGCTGTGCTGGGGAGCGTCACGGTGTCCCTTGTGGAGGGTCCTCCACGTGGAGTCCTGCTTTGGCACGGCTCTGGGGTGACCCCAGGGCACACCTTAGCCATCCTGCTCTCCTGTCTGTAAAATGAGGCTAAGGATTTCCCTGCCTCGCCGAGAGCTGAGATAAGGATTTATCCATGTTTATATTGTAAAGCTCTTTTCAGCATATTAAATGGCAATTAGCTGCAAAGAGCTTTTGCAGCATTTATTTATGGAAGATGTAGTGGGGGTAAAAAGGCCATTTTCAGTTCTTGGTCTGCCTCCAACAGTGTTTTTTTTGAGAATGTTGGAAATTCTTCAACAACATAGGCAGCCTCAACAGAAGGTGAAAATCAGCAGAGCCCACCCTTCCTAAAGGAGCAGAAACGCTTCTGCAGAAAGATCCAATGCTCTGTGGTTCTTGTTTTGGGTCAGCATGAACAGAGTTGAAGACATAGTAGTCCTGTGCCGCACACAGAGATTCAAGCTGGCATACAACTGGCAATAAAGTGGACTTTGGGGGAGCCCATCTGAGCCCTTACCATCAATGTGGACAAAATGTTTGGGAAACCCCAGAAAGGCAGGGGTTTAACTTGGGCTTTGTGCCTGTGTCTTTGATCCTGTAGATAAACGGGGAAGGAGAGGCTGATCTGGGTTAATTTTGGCGGGTCTTGCAGAAACTGATGCTTTGGGCACTGATTCAGATGGTCCCAGGTGGTACTGCAGTATCTCATGAGACACTGTGACACCAGACCCTGAGTCCCTCAGTACCCAAGCAGAGAGCTACCAGCTTGGATCTATTATTAGCAAAAAAAAAAAAAGAAAAGAAAAGAAAGGAAAAAAAAGTCTTGACTCGGTGTGGTATTGGTTATGATCAGAGCATTCCCAGGCCACAGGGGCAGAGCTGGAGCCTGGATGTTTTCCCTTTATGGACTTGTTCAAAGAGAAAATACTTTGTGGGCAGGCGGTGAACAGTGCATGCAGCAGCTGGGGCTGAGGCTGTCCTTTGGGAGACAACTGTGGCAGCCAGTGCTTGAGCCTCAGTCTTTCTTCATCCCTTGCCTGCTTTATTTCTAACGGTTCCTGCCCATGCTGGGTGCAATTCCCAAGCGGCAGCACGTGTGGCTGGGCAGAGGAGCCGTCTCTCAGATGTGTCCCTCTTGCTCTCCCCGCACAGGGGGAGCCCACTGGGAAACCAGAGTCCTGGCACTGGACACAGGCTTTGCTGTGGCTGAAGGGTGACAAGAAAAGACCTAAATACTTCCAGTAGGCTTGTAAGTGTTAGGAGATGACAATGCACACCACAGAAAAGATTGCTGCCTCTCAGTTTTACAAGGTCCCTGTTCCCAGCACAACTGAATCATTTCCAAGTGCCCCGATAAGCATCCTGGAGCATCCACAGCTCCCCCTGAAACAGTACCGTACCCAGGTTGTTCCCAATCGTCCAGGTTTCATCATAGTCAAAATGGACGTCTCCCTCCCGGTGCGTCTTGGGGAAGAACGCGTGTGCCAGGATCCCTCCGGGCCCATCGAAGGGCAGGTTATCTCCATGCCAGTACCTGGAGGGAAGACACGCTGCGCCTCAGACAAACGGCCGTGTACATCCAGTGAACACCATCATATGGCCAAAGGTGGGAAGCCACTGTGAGGGGACAGCAGCTCTCACATCCATCCCAAGTTTATCCCACCAGCCTGGATCGACTCTTTTGAGCCCTTTGGATTGCCACAAACTCAGTTCTGCTCTGGGGCACTGAGGAAGCAGAGCTTGGTGACAACAAGCCCTGGGGAGTTCATATGTTTTCTCAGGGATGTTTCTCTCCTCCCCCTGTTCAGATTCCAGCCCAAAGCTAACCATGGAGCCTAAAGAATTAAGGAGGGTACTGCTCAAGCCAAGATTAAGTTGACATAGCCGAGTGACGGGGAGATGCAGAGGGGCAGCCAGCAGCAATCCCAGCCAAACCCTCAGGTCAAGCCTGCTGTTGACTAGTGAAGGAAACCCATGAGAGATGTGGCCACTTTAGAGAGCTGAGGAAGGCACAGGCCAATACACGGCATGCACATCGCATCACTGCTTGGTCGGTCTCCACTGACTTTATTAGTTTTACGCAAACACGCAGCAGAGGGAAATCTTTGCCCCTGTGCATATTTTTCCAAAAGTAAATTTCGGGCCAGGAGCCAAGATTCATTTAACCAAGAAACTATATTTGTCTTTGGGCAGACAGTTACGTCGTTCAGTCAAGGGACAGGATGGAGGACCTGAAGATGGAAAGTCAAAACAAACACTTAGGAAAACAGACTGTGGGCAGAGAAACGTAAATGTACCAGGACAATTAATGAATGATCAGTAATGTTACTGTGCACAGCCAGCATGGAATAGCCTCACTTAAACCAAGTAGACCACAAGTGACCAAAAAAAACCCAAACCACCACCCCAAAAATCCTAGTGTCTGAAAGCAGAAACATAAGCCTCCACTTAAGTGCCTAAGTTGTGTGCTGGCAGCTCTGCTCTGGTTAGAGGCTTGGGGTCTTGCCTGCAAGGATGCTGCTCTGTCTGGGAGGAGAATGCTGCTGCCCACCGTGCTCACCTTGTGAAATCGATGACGATGTCAGCCCGGCCCTCCTGCACCTCAGTGAAGGTCAGCGGGGTCACGTCGCTCCAGACTTTCAAAGCTTCCTCAATGGTCCTTCTCACTTTAGCTTTCACAAGTTGCCACGGGAACCTGATAATTCTGAAAAGCAACAGACATTGGATGAGGAGAGCATCAGCCGCTGCCCCATGAACACTGCTGTCATGAAGACACTAGCTGAAGGATCAGCGTCCCTGGGGCTGCCACTCTCTCTCAGCACTGGAACATCTCAAATCCATACAAGCACTGCTCCGGCACCCTCTTCCAAGCAACATGTGCAGCAGATAAATCCCGTCACATTTAAACCCTCTCTCTGGCTGGTGGACTCTCTGGAGATCTTTGCAAATCTGTGTTGTTCTGGAGTGAAGTGATGCAGCATTTCCCAGGTCTGTCCCTGTGAGTCCAGCCCCACAGAGATGCCTGGGAGTGGTGTGATGTGATTTCTCCTCCTCAGTCTCTGCATTTTTTTGGCCCTGGAAACCTGGGCTGGCTCAGAGCAGCTGCTGCCTCTTCTGCCCTCCTGTAGCACAAGCAGCCTGTAAGGTCTGCCGCAGAGGGAGCTTGCTCTCCCTTCCATTAACACTGTTGGTGTGCGCTCACATCTGCTGTGTTTCTTTACCAGTTAACCGGAAAAAAAAAAAAACAGCCTTTCTGTTATCTATCGCCTCCTAACGCTACGAGGAACTGTCTCCTGCACTTAATTCAACAAAAGATGATTTAGGTGCTGTCAGAGTCCATATGAATGTGCTCACCTCTCCACTCATGTCTCTGTGGGCAACTGGGGAGGCAGCACAACCCCCCCGCAAGCCTGTTGAGCAGAATTGCTATTGAGAACGTGTGGGGTGACTTGGGCAAAACTTTGCACTGAAGTCGTGTTTACGGGAACATCAATAACAGCTGAATAAAAAGGTTTTTCTAAAATAAACTGTGAAGTGAGCCCACAGCGGGGTGGCTGGGGGAGCGAAGGCACGGGAGGAGAGAGCCAGTGGTAGGAGCTGGGCTCGGCATGTGTCAGGGGTTTGATGTAGGGAAGTGAAGGTACGAACGCGGGGGTGTCAGTGCGGGACTGACCCAGGGGTAACGCAACGGCTGCGTGGAATGTGTTTGGGCAGGGGCGGGTGGGCAGCTGTGTTTATGGCAGCGTGTGCGTGAGGGGATGTGGAGGCGCTGGGTACGACCTTGCTGGTGGTCCAGCACGTGGCTCCCCTGCCCCCCAGCCAGCTGTGCCCGGTTTTAGGGCTGCCCTCCAGCTTTTGTGATCGTGTCACAGCATGCCACGCTCCAGAGAACATCAGACTGAGAGCTTTGGGGAGGGAGAAGCAAACGAGCCTGACTCCTGTTTCGGGCTTCTCTTACTTGTAGGTGAGATCAGTCTTGTCCCAGCGTCCACCGGAGAGGACGAACCGCTTCTGCCGGTTCCGCCCATTCTGGCCATCCAGCGACACCGGGAGGTCGGGCACACCGCACCGAGGTGGGTTCCAGCGTGCCACCTGCTCATCTGTGCCCATGGAGAAGCCCTTGGTGGGCACACCGGTCCCCACAGCGTTCACCAAGGAAGACAGCCAAGGACTCTGCTCCTTCCAGGTGTGATGCTTTCGAGACATGTCCTAAAAGGGAAAAAGCAAAGCCATGACTTCAGTGTCTGGGAAGAGAGGTCCTGATGCAGACTGGTGGACGACTCCCCACAGCAGCACTGCAGCGGTGAGTTCCACCTCTGCCTGGGGCTGTTCCTCTGCTGCCAGGGCACAAACTGCTCCCCATAAACATCCTCTGTTCCCTGGGCTCTGCTGTGCTGAGCTGGGTCACACCTGGAAAGCACTGTCTCATGCCATGGCACCTCCTAAGCACTGGACTATTTTTGGTCCATTTTTCCTTGGCAGCTGGCCGGCAGGAAATGCTTTTGCAAACTGTGGATGAGAACCAGACCCTTCAAGAATGAAACAAATCACTAGGGAGTAAATTCTCCCCCTTTGCCCCACATCCTTTATTCCCTCCTGGCCCCGTGTAGAGGTGATATTGATGGGAGGAAGCCTTTAGTCCCCAGCACACAGTTGTGCTCCCTTTTGTCACTCCCACGGTGTCCCCTCGCTGTCCTGGTGTAGTGAACAGGCTCTCAGCATGGCTGGGGGACATCACTAGCTGGAGAGCCAGACACATGGATCTAGGGGGTGACTCAGAGCCCAGCCCACAGGGCAGAGAGCAGCAGTGACTGTCCTTGCAGCCCCTATCGCTGTCTGAGGTCACTGATGCCAGAGGGATGGACAGGACCATACCCCCTTGCCTCACTGTGCCTGTGACTCTGCCTGGGGACAAGATCACCTGGGCTATCCCACACTTAGCTGGAAAAGCATGGTTCATCTTGACAACATCAATTAGTGCTAATTAGCTGACTTCCATTGGTTACCTACCTGACAGCAGGACTGCGGGGCCACCACAAAACACAACCCAAGCATAATCCCCAGGCTGCTGCAGGGCATGTGGGGTGCAAGGTGCTTGGTCCCTGCATCACCATGCTGCACAAGCCAGAGGTCCACACATGGAATTTTTTGCCTAATTCTGTGCAGGCAAATGTAAAGGTGTCTGAGCAGCACGAGAAGCTGAGATGCAGCAGTGACACATCCCTACTCAGACAGGCAGGCTCTGTCCCACAGGGATCCAGAGTGAGCACCTGGGGTTGAGAGGTCCCCTTCCTTCCCCTGCAAGGAGCTGCCTTCCTCCAGGCCAGCTCTCCTGGCTGCCCTGCCGGGGACACGAAGGTCAGGCGGGCACGATGCCAGGGCTGCCGTGATGCCGTGTAATCCGCGTGCTGCGGCCACTCTGTTCCCTACAATGAGCCCATTCATGCGGGCTGGAATGAAGTGTGAAGCCCTTGGCATTAATTCCGCTACCGAGCCCCCGACTCTGTAATGGCCCCGTGCCTTTGAGCGCTGCGTGGATGGACACAGGAGCCTGGGAGGTCACACAAGGTGCAGTTTAGGTGCCCAGCTTTTCATGTGTCTGTCACCACTCCAGTTTGCTGGCATGTCATCCCCAGCCAGCCACACACCTTGGTGGTTTGACACCTGCCAGCCTTTGCCTTAGAAACCATCGACCCAATCCTGGTGTCCCAGTGCACTTTTACACACCACGGGAACCACACCATCAACATGTGCAAAGAGAGAAGGCCATTTTACATCCTGAACAGCAATGCCTGCACAACCCACCAGCCACAGCACTGGGAATCCATCCAGTGCTTTAGTGGAAGGAGAGTGTACGGGCTGGCCTGTCCCAGGGGAGAAAAAAAAACTGCGGAATGCTGGAGCCCTGCCAGGTCGGAGGTACCTGTCTCTAAGAGGAGCTCTCTAAGAGCTGCCTGGCACCCTGCCTGGGCTGGCGGCTAGCGTCTGCGAAGGACAGCTGGCAGGAAGAGCTGGTAATGTTCATGTCCTGGCCAACACCTTGTTCCCAGCCCCACTGAGACCCTCCGCCAAGTGTATAACGGCAGCTGTGTCACCAAAGCCCAGGCTGGAGGGCTGCTCGGCTCCTTGCTCCTGGATGCGCTCAAGAGCATGGGATGATGAACACGTCTACTTTCCCAGGACCAGGAGGTGCTGGACAGCCTCTCCAAGGCACATGGGGAGAGCAGAGGTGGACCCTGGGGAGAGCCCTCGCAGTGGAACTGGGAGCACTGGGAAATCTTCAGGAGTTACCCAGGTAAGTGAGTGGGCTGAGGCTGACACATATGGGCTTACTCCTATTTTTTTGTCTTGGCTATGCTAAGTGCATCCCCCTGGTCTCCCAGGAAGGCTGGTTGTTTCCTTGCTGGCTGGGGCACTGACATAGACTGAAGATTATCTCTCTCCTCCAAGCAGGAGGAACTGTCTTGTTTCCTTCTCACCCCGAGGGATCTCCACGTTCAGAGGCAGACCAGAGGCAGGTTTTCTCTCTCCTCTTTGGTTAGCTCAAAGCCACTGGCATGAAGCCCAGCTTCCAGCCATCCAAACCCCACCTTGACTTATGCAGGTCCATCCCTGCTCCCGCCTGCCTGCCCTCTGCTGTGACCCAGCCCTGGGAGGGGACACAGCATGGCCCTGGGAACAGCTCTGGGTGGAGGCAGGAGTCGAGACCTGCCCCGCTGCCCCGTGTGCTCGCTGTGCCCCTAGACAAACAGCGAGTCTCTCCCTGTCGTCACTGCACCGACATTAGCACCATGGCAGGAAAGGGCTGGAAAATGCCACTGCGGGTGCAGCCGGCAAGGGGAAATGTGACAGGCAGAAACCCGTTGCCAAACAATGCTCAGGAGACGCGTCAGGCTAGAGATTTCGGTCTCCTTGGCTGGACACACCTTGCTTCAGGCACTTCCCAAGGCTTAGATAACGCGTCCTCTCGCTTAAGGTTGCATCCTTCCCACCCAGCGCTGAATCCACCCTCTCTTGGGGAGATGCTGCTTTGTTCTGCCGAGCGGTGGTGTAATGCCCCCACTGTGAACTTAGGGGTTTGCTTAGGGCTGTGCTGCTGCTGAAGCTAGAGCAAACCTGTGAAGAGAGGATGAGGAGGGCACTGGCTGCTAGGTAACTATCAAAGCATCCCTGCTCCTCCCATGCCACCACTGGAGGGGAAAGGACTACTGAAGACCAAAAGCAAAGGAAAGTCCCTGCAACCCGGGGCAGGTGTTGAGATCAGCTGAGTGCAGAGCCCGATCTGAGCCTCTGGCTGAGGCTGTGAGCAGCCACTCGCGCTGCCCGTCGCAGCTGGGGGGGATGCTGTGCACGGGAACAGACAGCTTTTAGCCAAGGGAAGAGGCCGGGGCTTTGCCATAGAGACTGAGCAGCAAAATGACCGCACACCACGAGCACAGAGGGGCTGCCAGGCCTGGAACCAAGGGTCGAGGGCAGTGGGGACAGCAGAGGAGCAAAGCTACGCGCAGAGAGGGCTGTGCTGCAGCTGGCCACAGCCCCTCGCAAGGAAAGTGCCTCTTCCCAGCAGCCTTGTGACCGACAGGCTGAGGCGGGGACACGAGGGAAAGGACAGATCCCACCGCAGCGCAGAAACCGCAGCCGAGGTACAGACTGCCCACTCGGTTCCTCACGGCTTTACCAGCCCTCGTTGCTGCGACACAACAGCCATCGCTTCGGGTCTGCTGGGGCCGGATGAACGCCAGCCAAGCTTCCCAGGAAGCATCCCAGCCATCTTTAACCTCATTGTGTTGGTCAGCACTCACCCTCCAGAGCCTCCCAGGAGGAGAAGCAGCCGGAGCAGCACAGCTACAGTGGAGTATCAGCATCGCTGTGTATAAAAAACCTCCAGAGTGAGGCCAGTGCCTGGTACTGACAAACCTGGTGCTCTCCTCTGCCTGGGTCCATCGTCTGCTGCCTGCCCTGAACTTAAACTTGTCTCCTCTCTCTTGTACCTAATTGCCTGGGCTCCTGCCCGCTCCTGCAGCACAGACATGAAAGGAGACCCCCCTCCCTGTCAGACAGGAGTGACTGGACAAGTTACAACGTGAATTCCATCAGTCTTGGATACTTCCCCTGTCATTGGGGGCTGTTTCCTCTTCTGCTAGGGGATGAGCTCATGGGTTTTCTCCCCACCTCCCTGTCCCTTCTGCTGCTGCTTTTCCATTTCTCCTTGCTGTCTCCTTCTGTTACTCAGAGTGTTTGGTGTGGCCCTGGTGTTCGCTGCCCCTTTGACTAGTAGCATTATCCTCCTCCCACCTCAGAGCACTCCTGCCCTTATTTCATCGTGCGGGGAAGGCAAGTGGAGATGCTTTCTCCTGCAGTTCTCACATAAGACAGCTCTCTCACCCCTTTTCTGACCACTGTCAGGTGGCTGTGCCCCCAAGGGGCTCTGCACCCCTTTAACAGGCTGCAGCAATGTTCCTGCCTGAGATCAGCACTGTTGTCCCGATGCACAGAGTACCGTGGCAGGCTTTTGGGCCAGGCTGCCTCTCAGGCAGCCTGCTTTGCAGGGGTTGGATTTGAAAGTGCAACTACAGCTGATGGTTAGTGGTCAACCTGGAGCCAGCTCCGCTCCAGTCAGGTTGTGTCCCAGAAGCAGACTGGCCTCAGAGGGGCTAATGCTTCAGCCGAAATTTCATGGTAGAAACAGATTGTTTGCAGTCTGGTCAGACCCTGAGCTAAGCATGCTCCTGGTCTGGACACTCTTAGTGGAAACAATGGCAAAGCCACCGGATTTATTGATCCTCCCTCCCCCAGAACAAGGCAGAGTCTCCCAGCCTCTCTAACTATGAATTCTTTGCTTACACAAAATATTTCTGCTACAGGACTGACTCCTTCATGCTGGGCTGCAGCCTGGTCCCGCTGCAGACAGAGCCAAGGGGAACGCAAAGGCTGAGGTCAAACTTTGGCCAAGTGAGGCCAAACGGGAGGTGCTGCAGTGCCTGGCCATGCATACACAGTCGGAGGTTCCTCTCCACTCACTTCCCATACTCCGTGGCACCATCAAGCACTACCTCCTGGGGCCTGACAGTTTGTTTCCGGATTATTTGGTGGTAGTTGTTGTTGGCAACAAAAAAAGGAAAATGTTTATTTTTCCTAAGCAACATGGAACATGAAACATTACGGACTGCACATGTTTATGCCCACAGACAGAATGAGAAGACCCA